ATATGAATTTTATAAAAAAAAATTTGAATACATTATTACCATCATTATTTGACCCTAATCCAATAGGTTACACTAGTGTGGATTTACCACTTAACCCAACCTACTAACTTTCCTAACCTCAAGAGGTAGTGTTTCCCACACCCATGTGAGAGACATGCAAAATCTTATTATTCCATAATTCATTTATGTTATGCATATGTCTCTTAATGCACTCAAAATAGTCGAGTGATGACTGTTTTGCAAATGATTGTAATTAGCACCCCATGCCCCAACCATGAGGATCTACCCGAAATTGTATATGAGCATGAGGGACAATAAATCCTAGGACTTGTGCATTAAATCTATGATTATGATCAACTTACATCTTTGCAACTACATACCTAGAAGATCAAAATCTTTTTTCTTGTCGTAATCACCTAGAAGATCAAACTCAAGGTTTAGATATTGGCATACTAGCCGGGTCATTGTATATCATGTATGACTCTAAAGCTGCATTTGGCATTCCTTATTTTAAGGATTTACAATCTCTTTTTTTCAATTAAAAACTCAGTATTCATAGGGGAATTTCAACTATAAAATTAAAAGGAGACAAGTCCTTTTGAAGGAACCCAAATGCAGCCTAAAACTGGGATGTCCCAAATTACACTCTCATTTGAATGTGCTGATTTTCTGTTCAACTATTGTTTAATGTTGGACCTATCATGGTGGGTCTCAATGTTCTTACCTTGGACATATAGAAGCTTATATAGGAGGGCACATATAGAAGCTTATATAGCATGCCAGAGTAGAAACCAAATGCTACAATTTCTACTCTTTTTTAAAGTTAATTTTCTCATCATCTAAAAAGCCTTTCTTTCTTCCATTCTTACTTTATTTCTTTTGTTGGGTCATTTGGGAACATTTGAAGGACAATCACTGAGACTAAGATGGTTTAGTAGTGCGAAGAAAGGATTCAAGATATGGAATGGCCTAAAAAATATTTCTAGAATTTTCTAAGGACAAAATTTACCTCTCTATATTTAAATTTATTGATAAAAAATGAAGGCAAATAGGGTAATCGGTTCTTGATATTAAATGATTTTAAGAGAGGTAATCGGTTCTCTCATTAAATCCAACATTTAAGTTATTAACTTGCATTCATGTTCATTGAATTATACATTTAAGTCATTTTTGTTTCTTCTCATCATTAAGTTCTATTAATTAAATCCATACTTAATAAATTAATAATTCCAATAACATAAAATCTTATACTTTTAATAAGTCTACCTAGCAAAAATAGTGTTTTCATCAAGGTGATGGTAAGAAATTAAATCATTTTGGGTCAAATGGGTCAATCCATGTTCCCACGATTAAATAATAAAATAAAAAAATAGATAAGATGAAAAAATAGAAACTAAAAAAATTGGGAACATTTTTAATATACATATTAAACAATAATAAGTATGATAAATAAGAAATGTTTTTATTAATGATGGAAATAGAATGTAAAATTTAAAATCAATTGGAAATAAAAATATTTTCCTATTCTCCCAATTAAATCCTATATTTAAGAAATATTTTTCACATCATTAAATTCTTGTAATTAAATACATAATATTTATTTTAATAGTATGAAATAAATATTTTGAAAAGTAATTTGAAAACAAAACCATTTTCTTCCCTCTTGGTGGTGGGCAAGCAATTCGACCATTTGGGGTCAAATGGATTAATAAATAATGTTATAATTAAATAATAAAAAATTAAATTAAATAAATAGGAAATGTAAGAAGTATTTTTATTAATGATGAAAATGGAATGCCAAATTTGAAATCTACCTATAAATGAAATGATGCCATAATCAAATAATAAAATTTTTAATAATAGAAAATATAAAGAGACAAAAATAAAAATAAAAAAGAAAATTTTGGACACATTTCTAATGTTATATATTTATAAAAAATAAAATATTGGGTATATCTCTAATATTATGCATTCATTATATTGAACAAAAATAAGTTTTATACATAAAAAATAATTTTATCAATGATAGAAATGTATTGAATCAAGTGAGTTAGTGAATTGAGTCAAGTGATACCATAGGCAAACAAAAATTAAGTGCGCGAAGTAAAAAACATTTTATATAATGTAAATGAAATATATAATTTAAAGGGGAATTTATAGTTAAAGTCGATTGTACATTTAAAATTAGGTTGTAGGTTGGTACAAAAACCAACAAAACTCTAACAATTGTTTCTACATTTCAAATTATAAAAACCCCAGCCATGTTATTAGAGGCTTATGTGGTTGTTTCCAACATGGGACTCTTATTCCATGTTGAACATAGCAAAAAGCCTATATTGAAAATAGGTTTTCAGTTTCTCTCCCACTCCCTCTGTCTCTAGATCTCCCTCCCTTCTCCCTCACTCTCATAGTCATCTCTTGTTATCTCGCTCCCTTTGTCTCTCCAACTCTTCCAGGTTTGGTCTATAGCCAAATCAAAACTTCTCTCTCTATCATTCTCCCTCAATCTCTCTTATTTTTCTCCCTTACTCTCCCTCTCGGTTAATATCTCATTCTCTCTCAATCTCTATCATTCTCTAGTTGGTGTAAATTCCATAACCAAGAGTTTCTTATGAATTTTTATCAAATAAGTGTATTGATTTTTGAACCATACCAAGTATGTCTCATGTTGTTTTATACAATCTAATTAATACCATATAAGTGTGTAAGAAAATAAAAAAAGAACGAGAGAGGGAGTGGGAGAGAAATTGAAAGAGAATGTTAGAAATTAAGGGAGAATGAGAGATTGACTAAGAAAGAGATTGAGAGAGATTGAGGGAGAACGATAAGTAGAGAGAGAATGAGGGAATTGATATAGAGAACAATAAGTACAAAATCAAAAACCATTTTTATTTATTTTCAAATCACATAGTCGTTGAGTAGATAAAGATGACTGCAAGAGTGAAAGAGTGAGTGAGTGAGAGTGAAAGTGAGAGAGAGAAAAACTAAAACCCCTTTTTTTATTTTCAAATCACCCATCATTAAAGGGCAATTTTGGTATAAGTCTCCGATGACATGGCGAGGGTTTTATAATTTGAAATGTAGAGTCAGTTGTTAGAGTTTTGTTGGTTTTATGTGCCAACTTGTAGCCTAATTTTAAATGTATAGTCGGCTCCAACTATAATTTTCCTTAATTTAAAACTAATCATCCAACTTTTCGAAGAAACCCATGATGCCATAATTGAATAATAAATATTTAAGAGAAGATAGAAACACCAAAAATGAAAATTTACGGATTTTTGTCGAAAACAATTGAGAACATTTCTGATGTTATATATTCATTTTATGAAATAAAAATACAATGCAAAATTTAATAGTAATAATAATAATTGTTATTTACTATAAGCATTTAAGTTTATTTTTAATCATATTGTTACTTTTGTTAATTTTCAATTTCTATCTTAACTATGGTATATTTAAAATTCAAGTAATTAATATGAAGAAAAATTTCTCATGTACACTGCAACGCATGTGCTTAATTGTTAGTTGTATTCAAATATAAATGCTGATGTATAGTTATTGTGTCTACGAGTAAAGTTGATTTGAATGCTATGTTTATATTAAATTTCCCATATATTCAAGGTTCATATAAGTAATTTTTAATTGATTTTTTCATAAAATTAATATCAAAAGCATTTGTAGCACTTCATTATATTATTACTGTGTAATAATTTGATCATTTTTAGTTTAATTTATTTATTACTCCAATTCAAATTGAATCTGAATCCCAACTAAATCCAATTGATAAGATCACATTTTGAATTGGAATATAAAAATCAAATTTTCAATCCGATCCATTTGCAGTCATAAAGATGATAATGCTCCCTCATCATCCTCACCAAATATGTAGATGCTTAAGGGCTCATTTGATTGCCTCAGAATTGGAATCGTCTATTCCCAATCTCTTTTTGGCCAGGAACTAGAATGGGAATTGAAATCAGCTGAAATGAGATTTCATTCTCAAAGGATGGAGAGAAAAATATCCATTGCCTAAAATGAGGGAATATGGAATATCATTTCACACGAAATGGGAGTGGAATTCGGATTTCATCCAATCAAATTGATGAGGGCAGATTTGGCCCTCCAATGACATCGTGACATGTGGCATCTCAAAACAGTTGGGCTACACCCCAACACCACGTAGGCGATCTCATTTACAACTTGGGCACCTCGGTAAAGCGGCTAGGAACATCTTGTTTAGGGTCGACCTGTGGTACCTCGTCGTTATTGGTCCAAGTGACCTCGGCGCGAGGAGCGACCTCCCTTGAGGACTTGTCGACTCGATTGAGGTGCAGGTGGCGACCTGCGAGACGTGCTCACTGACCTCCTCCATTTGTGAATCCTATCACTCCTAGGTCTTTTGGAAGTTAGCTCCTACATCAAATGTTTCGGAGGCACAAAGCCTAGTCTATGTGTGCCACTACCTCCGAAGACTTTGGCTTGACCAGCCACGACCTCTCAGAGATCTCGGACATCGTGCATGAAGCCCATGCCAAACAATGCCTATATATAGGCCTCACCTCTAACCTCACAAGGTACATGCGCAATTTAATTCTCGCATCTCTCTAGCTCTTTTACTTTTAGCTCTCTCAAAAATCTCCAATTTACTGACTTAAGCATCGGAATAACCAGCCCGGGTAAAGAAACCTAGGCACTTTAATATTGTTCCACTACAGGTCTCCCAGAAAATTACACAACTATCTATCATATAGCTCAACATCCAAGCTATCTTCTAGCTCGTCCTTACTCAGCTCAACATTTGAGTCACCTTCTAGTAAGGAATTCCCTAGCTTGACTTCTGAATCATTAATTAGCAGGGAGCTGCTAGATTGAGCATCATCACAAACAGTTGGAATCGGAGTGGTTATGATTACAGACCCATTCCCATGAATCAAACAGGCCCTAATGTGCCTGGCTGGCTTATGACCAAAGGATCCTTCTGAAAGACCGTCTGATCAGCACAACTCTTCTTTGACCGTTTCCCCAAATGTCAAAATCCTGATCCAATTGAAGGAGGAACAAATTGGGGCCAAATCTAGGGCAGAGCGTCAACGTTACCCTGTCACAATCCACTACTGCGCCCAAACTGACTATAACGTTCTCCAACGAGCGCCAAAACGACTAGACTTACAAGGGTTTTGGGTTTTTATCCCTCCTCTTCCCCGTCATCACTGCCACCGCCGGTTCCGCCGCCGCCAGCGTTGGCACCTTCATCACTACCACCATTAATTTCAAGCGAGAAAACGGAAGAGAGAGAGAGAGTTTTGTCTGTGAGCAGAAAATTTAAGATGTGGTATCTGTGCGTGTTCTACCACAGGTTGTTGGATTACAGGAGACCTGAAGTTGAAGCTCTAGCAGAGCTTTTTGGTGCCTTTGGAGAAGACAGTGAAATCAGTCACCGGTCTTTGGAATGGAAGCTTCCTGAGAGCCACCACCCTGATTCTCCTTTCCATTTCGTCAATCTACCTTCCGAGGACATTGCGAGAAGCATCGCCAATCGAAGTGAGCTTCTCTTATTCTTATTCATTTGTCTATGTATTTGCAATTCATGATTTCTAGTTTGTTTTCTGATTGTCTTCTAAACCAGATGATAAACTTGTTTAGGAGGAATATATTCTAAACGGAAATTGGAAATGCCACAAACGCAATTTTCGAGAAACTTGTGTTTGAATGGGAAACGAGTTTCTGGTAATTTTGAGAATCAGTTTACGCTAGAATTCTTAATATCATTTAGATCTACTATAGCTCGATAAGTAGAAATCTCCTACTCTCACATGGAAGTCTTAACCGGTTAACAAACTTGTAAATAAAAGCAATATAAGATTTTTTTTTGAGAGAAAAAAAGCAATATAAGAGTAAAAGCCTAGAAATATTTACAGACATGTATTTTGTGCTCCTAAAAAACTGTTTGCCTAGTTGATTAGTATAAGTTCTTATTCTCTCAATCAGAATGATGTATATTATGACACTTAATGTAAATGAATAAAGTACATATTTGATTCATGTTATTGTGGTGTGTTTCTATGTAATACCCTTAAACTAGACATATATGAGACTCGTGTTAGTTTAGAATATTCACAGCCGTTGGATAGATCTGAGGAGATTTATCTTAGCAAAGCTGACACTGATGTGTCGCCAAGTTGGTTGGGGTGGCTTGTCTCAGCTGCTAGGGTGAGACTTGAGGTACATGCAGTGTGGGTTTTTCTTAAAACCCTGAACCGGACCAGAATTTCAGTATTGCCCTAGACCTTGGAGATAGATGGGCAAAACTGGAATGTTACACTTGACCCCTAAACTCGATTATGATACTGCACTAGGTGTCGGATTGGGCTGTCTTTGATATGCCAATCAGTAAGATCCTTAGAGGGGGTCAAAACCTGGGTATGTTGGGACAGTCCGAGAATTCATCTTAGTGGGTGATCATAGTGACAAGACTAGTCCTTTTGTCGGACAAAGTGAATGATCGGGGATGCACTCTCTCTAATGGAAACCAAAACTGCCGGCAGTTGATTTCAACCATTGAAATTTGTTTTGCAAAATATATTTATATAGAGATGTACATATATATATTATGGTTTCAAAATGTTTGAAAAATGTTTTAATTCCCAGGATCCATGTGAGTAGAGAGTGCAACACTGTACCTTGCAGCCGAGGGAGTGGTCTTCTCTTGTCGGGCGGTATTTGATCATTATGGGCTGAGAGATTAAGTGTAAGACCATTGAAGGTAATACCTAATGGGCTAATCTTGCATCTGCCTATAGTCCTTGGGTTTTTATAAGGTGGTTTGACCCAATGACCATTTAGTGTAAATGTTGGGCCTATTAAGAGCCCATGGTGATGGGCTCAGGGGTTCACTGTCTCCTACAGTGAATTCGGCCAGGCCTTGTCACAGAGGTTGGGCTGAACCCATGTGGCTGATGTGTAGATCAATGTTTGGGTCCCATGCCATATAAGGATATTCAACTGGGCAACAGTTTGGAGGATAAGTGAGCACATAGACTTAAATGGGCCTAAAGCCCAATCCGAACTGGCTTAATGAGATTAATTAAAGAGGGCAGTTCTAGGATTTAGATTAGCAGATAGGATAAGGGATTATCCCTATCCACTCAGAGAGTCCAGATCCAAATAGAGATTTGGATCAAGAAACTCTTAATTAGATTAGGAGGGCTGATCTTTATCTGCAAATAAGATAGGGGATTATCTTTATCTCTTAAAGAGAGTCCAGATCCAAATACAAGATTTGGATTAGGAAACTCCTAATGGGATTTGGAGAACCTCTCTTTAACCCTATAAATAGAGGAGAAGGGCGAACCCCAAATCATCCTTCAACTTACTGATTCAAGAGAGAAGACAACATATAGTTGGACTGACGCCATCTTCTACTCTTGCCTTCTCCTATTATTGGCGCCATTACCAGTTCGATCTCCACCTGTAGGAGCGATCAAGAGGAGTTCTTGATATTATCTTTTGGAAAAAAGATAATCAGAAGTCGTGCTCACGTGCCCTTCATCGAGTTCTTGCTGAAGAACCACCCTGCTGATTCTGCTCCACCCTACGCTGTGTCATCTTTAGTGGGAGCAGTTTTTGGTATTCTCCTTGGGCGTGAACACCTTCGTTGGGGGTTATTATTACTTCGTATCATGTATATCCCTCTCCTACCTTTTGGTTTCAGATTTGGTTCGTTTTGGGTTCAAGATTGATCGTTGAAAATGTAGTTTTCTAAATAGGGAATGTGATTCTCACATGAGAGAGAAATTTTTGAAATTTCGCTCAACTTACCTGCAAGGTTCGGCCATCCATATGATGGATCTCTCATCCCTTCATATTAGTCCAACAGAATATTGCCTACGTTATCTGTGAGCACATTAGTTTCCCTCGGGGGACCTGGTTTACCAATGTCACACCCATCAAAATTTATCTTGATTTTTCCTCCATTAGGAGGCACCTAGGGTCAAGTTCTTCTATTATCTATCCAGATGGAAGCAGATCACTTGGACGATAATGGATCATACATAGGTTGATTTTGTGAACATTTTCTACCAAAGCAAAATAATTTGGAAGATCCATTCCATTACTATATGTTGGTTCTAGAAAAGCTCAGTAATCAGATATTTAGACTCTTGGATCGTAAACAAACCTTGATCTTGTTTTACTTTCTAAGATTAAAAAGAGTCAGAGACTCACTAATGGATATGCATTTGCATTTTTCTTAGGCAGCTGAGGAACTGGGGTGGGCGTAGATGAATAAAAGATAGGGTAATATTTAGATAAATGGACTTGTTGGTACATCCAAACAATTTTCCCTAGATAAATGGAAATAATCTAAATCCCTGTTTACAACTAACAGGTATATTGGTGAAGGGAATCTATGAACTTTGGGGACAAGGCAATAGTTACAAAGAATTGGAAGAGGCAATAAAAGGCTATCCAGATGAGCGCAAGCTGCCATACTTGGCATCAGAAAGCACATTTAAGATAATTGTCGACAGCTTTGGTAAGGTGATGACCTTTCAAGAGCAAAACGAACGTATTCAAGGGCTTACTTATATACCATTCAAGGTTCGTTTTTTTGTTGTGATTAACTGCTTATACATGCATATCTCAACACCATTCTAGAAACTTCATTATGTTATAGCTGCTAATTGCATTTGGTATATTATAATGGGCACTTTTCAAATGAATCTTAGTTAGTGGATTTCTCTTAGGGGCTATTTGATAGCAGATGAAATGGCTGAAGTGAATGATTTACTGTCTTGTCTTTTAGAAACTAAGTTATTAAGGGGCTTGTGAGCTATTTAATGGCTGAAGTTGAGTTGAATGCCATACCCTCAAATATTTTATTATTGAATTATTTTATTCACTAAAAGACAAAACAATGCCACTTCAGTCTGTTATCAATGGCCCCTGAGATGTAAGAATATAAAGTTCATAAAGTTGTTATTTTCTTGATGCTTTGGTTTTCACAATGAGATTGCACCTGGGCTATGATGCATAAGCTTGGTATCTCTTGCAAATCAAATGACTCCAACTTGAAAGACTGCAAAGTGTGATGCCTCCATGGTTTTGTCTCACATCTTAGTCCTGCTCCTGAAAATGAGTATTTGCAGGGTAAAGTTAATCTACGAAACCCAGATCACAAATTCTGGCTGATAGAAACTGACGACTATGGATCTAATAATGGGCTTCCACCAGTTGTCCAGAGGAGGATCTATTTTGGTCGAGAGGTTGGAGCTGCAGATAGGAAGCTTTTGCCAACCTACCAACTAAAAAGCCGCAATTACTTAGGTCCTACTGCTATGGACGCAGAAATGGCTTTTCTTATGGCCAACCAAGGCTTGGCCATGCCAGGGAAACTTGTTTATGATCCTTTTGTTGGCACTGGCAGTATTCTTATTGCTGCTGCACACTTTGGAGCGATGACAATGGTCTGTACTTTGATCTTCTTGTCAATATTTTTTAAATGATTCCCTTATCTGTGGTGTAGACTTTTTCCTAGGAACTTCTGTGAACTATTGTATCTCAGTTCTCTTTAACTGGGTTCAGTTTTCCATCATTTGCAGGGTGCTGATATTGACATAAGAGTGGTACGTGATGGGCGAGGCCCTGACTGTAATGTTTGGAGCAATTTTAATCAGGTAACTTCTGGATCTAGATTTTTGTTCATGCATGAATATGGACAACTATTTAATAGTGGTGCAAGTCGGGGCAAGTTGGGCTTGGTTTAAGGTTATCCTAAGCCCCAATGTTGTTGTAAGACTTGGACCGGACACAAATCTGGATCCTTGCTGGGTCATAGGTCAAATGGTTTGACCACAAGTCACATAAATCATCATCATCATCATCTCTCTCTCTCTCTCTATATATATATATATATCTATATCTATATATATATGAACACTAATGCAAATGACAAGATGGATCAATGGTAACAAGTCAACATAAATTAACCAAAAGGTCATGAGTTCAAGTCTTCCCATTTGCGTTTTAAGATTTCCATTGATTTAGTAACCTGGGTGGGTTGTGGGAACTGGTTGGGATGTTCAAACCTGGCCAGTGTTCAACGGTTCTTTGCTACATATATTTTGGTGTTTTCTGTCATTTCCCTCTTGCTGGAAATTATTTTCCAATTAATTTATTTTTAATATCAGTTTTGTGGATGTTCTAATAAATTACTTGAAGGGAATAGTTACTCATGTTTTAATTTTTTGCAGTATGGCTTAGCAATGCCAATTTCACTGCTCAGGGCAGATAATAACCTTCCTCCCTGGCGTACAGGATTAAGAGAGGTAAGCTCCTATGCTCTTTGGTTGCTTATTTATATAGCTTTTCATATTGTGGTTTTATCCTATGTCTGGTTTGTCGATGAATATGAATTTGACATTAACATTTCAAGTAGTGTCTGAAAGTTTTTAGTGGTTGTAACTTCAGAGACATGTACATGCTTTTTACCTTGTAATATCAAAATTTCAGGATCCTAATTGTTCTAGTCATTGTTGGTGTCCTTTTTATATGTTGTGTTGCATCAAATTCTAACTAGTTTAGATCTATTTGGACAGTCCTCAACTAGTTTACTTGTGTTAGATTGTTGTTCAATATTTTCTAATCACCACATCAAATTAAACTAACCTAAAGTTGGTTGGACCAACTAACAGAAACATCAAAGGCATTTCCCTTTTTGGTAGTAACAAAAGGATGGATATCTTGATTTTGTATAGGCAGAGGTTGTTCCCTTACTGCTATAGATATTTTAAATCCATTCAAGCAGGAGCTAAAAGAAGAACGGTTTAGCAATGGATAAATGTTGAGCAAAACGGAAAAAATGAAAATATTTATGTTAGGTTCATAAGATGTCTACATATGATCAGTGTAATGGAAGCCTACCATGTGCAGGCAAAAGAAAATTCCCTTTCCTTTTGTTTATATATTTGAAAATATTATTTTAAGCTGTTAGTCAAAGAGACATTGCCATACACAATAGGGTATAGGGGTCTCTATGAATGGAGCTGTACACATTTCCATTGCAAAGTGTCCCTACAGGATGAATGTTGGATAGACCAGTTTTTTAAAAGTGAGAAGTACTACTAAAGTGCAAGGGGTTCCTAAGGCCTGAGGCATGAAATGCAAACCGTGGCACACACCTGAATGAAGTGAAGTGCCACTTTGAAAAAGAAAAGCAAAGCTTAATGTATAATAATATTGCAAATCTAAACATTCAAAGAAATATGACATTTCAAAAAAAAACTATTAGCTCAATTAGTTAGAGCATTGTGTTAAATAATTAGTGTTCCATGGATTCTCCCAGATGGATAAGTGTCTAAGTTGGGAGTTGGGACATGCATTGGATTCTGACACTTCATTAATCCTTAGGGACACTTCTAACATTTTCCCTTATTTGACATAAATAAATAGCTAATGTACACAACTAATGCCATTTTCCTTTAAAATTTTAGTAGCAAACATAAATGTTTAGAGCTTTTACTATAAGTATATATTGTTAGAATTCAAAAAAAATTATTTTAGTAGTTTTTACTTTTCTATAGATGTTCTTCTCGTTCTAGATTTTTCATTTCATTGAGTCAGATCCCAGTAAACATGTGTTGTGATTCAGACCCTTAATTTTCAATTCTTGGTAATGAAGTTTGGACTAAACTTTTTCCATGCATAAATGGTGAAACAAGGAATAAGGAGACTCCTTTTGAACCAAGACTATGTTTCCATGTGGAAGAATCCTGGGTTATTTACGGAATCTCACTAAATGTCAGGACAAACAATCCACTCCCTATATGTAACACTGACTTATGTACATATATTTTAACTTTAAACCCCTTAGTACTTGACCAAATTAACCTTTCTTTGGGGATGCTCTTGGATTAGGATATTCAAGTTTTGGATGGCTTAAGAACTTCAAACAAGGTAGGGTATAGGGTGGATGTGGACTGGTGGGTTGATAATATGGCTACCCAAAAGGTCCCCTATCCAATGGATGGTTTGGGTTGCTCACGTGATTCCTCCAAATAGCAGAAATCATAGGCGACGCCTAGGTGAGAAGGCACCCTTGGAGGCTCACCTCACCCAATTGCCAAGCAGTTTTGTATAATGTGTAATAAAATACTTTTATATTGTTATTTGTTTTAGATTATAATTATAAAATAGACATTATTAAACAAAAATATTCATTTTTTGTGTTTATAAACTAATTTCTTTTTATTATTTTCTTATTTGTTAGGGTTTAATCAACACAAACATTGCTAACTGCTGTATTGAACCCTCAATGACTTCAAAGTCTGAACCAATAAGTATGGGAAGAACTTAAAATTTTGTTTATTTCTTCTTCCACATTATCATCATCATCATCTTCTTCTTCTTCCACCTTTTCTTTTCTTCTTTTCCTATAACAAAAATAGGGGTTCAGCCCATATACCTTTTGAGTTTTCTTTTCTTTCTTCTTTTTCTTCTCATAAATATGTTGATTTTTTAAACTTAAACATGAAGTTTATAATTTTCTTATGAAAATTATGGATAGTTATTAAAGAAAGATGGTTATGAAACCTAGGGAACTACCCTAGGATATGTGGTTTTTACTTAAAAAAAATCCATCACCCAGGCGACTAGGCAACAAAGCATCCCCCTATCGCCTAGCCTCACGTTGGCGCCTTGAAAACTATGGCAGAAATAGGTGGGGTTGTCTAGTTGGGTTGATGGGTTCCCTACTTGGCCAATTAGGAAATCCACATATACATGCTAATTCCTATAATTGACTTCCAGATGGAGGGATTGCCACCTTTTTTATAAGTAACAGGATGTATTTTATTAAAAGCCAAAGTGCACACAAAACTATGCAGCTGGTTGATCCCAAGAGGAACTTTGCCACAAGTAAAATAAAGCAAAAACTATTACAAATAACAACATCCAGATTGCATATTACATATTGCAAGCTAGTCCTGGGCATCCCCAATCTAAACAGTCCTTAACAACCCCACTCTTGGCCAAAAATCAGCCAGCATGCTGGCACTCCTAGGCACCCGCTTGAATGAGACATTCAAGGCAACACCTAGAGATTGAGCCAGTCTACTAGAGTTCTGAATTTCCATGGGATATGTATGACCTTGGATTGTCATCCATCTTAAGACCATTTGACAGTCAACCTCTACTTCCACATTTCTCATTTCCTGCCTAGCCAACAACTTTAATCCTTGAACTAAAGCCAGAAGTTCAGCTTTTAAGGAATTTCCTTGACATACCGGACCTGAAAAACTTAGTATGATATTGCCAACATGATCTCTAATAAATCCCCCATACCCGAGGCCCCTGGGTTTACAAGGCAGCAGCTATCAAAGTTGAGTTTGAACACCTTTGTGTCAGGAGGGAACCATTCAACCATCCTTTGTTGTCACCACCTGCCGCTCCCTAAGCAAATCATTAATGGAAATACCTTGGAATTCCCCACATATCACAGCCCAATGGGCTATCCTCACTTTTATGACTTCAAACACTTCCTCATCTTGTTTACACCTTAAAAAATCCTCGTATTTCTTTCACACCATAATCTCCACAGTACTGCCCCACGTATACATTGCCATGAAGTCTTTTGACATCATGTTGAGCCTCCAAATACATCTGATTTAAATAAGTCTACTGCTGCCTCTGGCGCCACCTACATTTTTCCAAACAATAAAAAGAAAAGCTGCCACAGTCTAGAAGCATAGGAACAATGTACTAAAAGATAATTAGTATTTCCCTGCTTTTCAAGCAAAGAACACACACATGAGGAGAGAGAGATCAGTGCTTTTTTTGATAAAAACCAGGGTTTCCATTTTCTTTGGAGCCTTTCATGGGTGTTGATGATTTGGTTGGCAGCCTCCCAACAAAAAAACCTTGACTTTGGGGGGAATTGGGATACAAAATACCTCTTTCACGGGGAAAGGTTCTGTGAAGGGATAAAAGGTTTTAAAAGGAGGCACAACTAAAGCAATCATTAGTAATGAAGGGTGATTTGGCCCTCCAATGACATTGTGACACATGGCACAACAGGACTGCCGCATGACACCTCAGCGCCACACGAACAACTACGGATCTCACTAAGTCAAGGAGGCGCACCTCGGAACCAGTCCGAGCACCTCGTATACAACTCGGGCACCTCAGGAGAGCAACTAGCAGCACCTCGTCCAAGGCCGACCTGTGGTAGCTCGTCACTATTGGTCCAAGGGACCTCAGCGTGAGGAGTGACCTCCCCTGAAGGACTTATCGACCTGACTGAGGTCCAAGTGGTGACCTACGAGACGTGCTCGCTGACCTCCTCTGCGTGCGTCTTATCACTCCTGTGTCCTTCGGAAGTCAGCTCCCGCACCGATCGTTCTGGAAGCAATTGGATAAGGCACAAAAGCCTAGTCTGCGTGCAAAACTACCTCTGAGGACTTCGGACCGGTAAGTCACGTCCTCCCGGGGATCTTAGACGCGGTGCGTGAAGCTCATGCCAACCGACACCTATATAAAGGCGATTTTCTAAGAGGGAAATACACGATTTAGCACTCAAGCTCTCTAGCTCTCTAGCTCTCTCTCTCTCGCTTTCTAGCTTTCTGAAAACTCCAGTTTGCTAGCTTAAGCATCGGAGTGCCCACACCTAGTAAAGCAGCCCAGGTACTCTAATCTTCTTTCTTTACAGCTCGACCAAGCGACTTACCTAGTCCGGCATCTGAGCCATCCACAAACAGGGAGCGTCAGATCGCGCACCATCAATTAGTATTGGGAATCTAAATTCTTTCATCACAACCCAATGGGGCAAGTTAACGTTTTCAAGTAGGGTTACAAGAGAAACCAGCTCATTTTTTCATGATTCCTTAATGGCCTTCTCAAACCGAAGTCTCAGACTAAATCATTCTCTTCCAAGGTTATCATTTCAGCAATTAGTTTGTTTTTAGAATTGGACAAGCCATAGATCCTTGGAAAGGCTTGGCACAAGGGAGAATCCCCCCCACCAAGTATCTTCCCAAAACTTCACACGTTGTCCTGAGACCACATCATATCTTATGTTTTGCATGAGGGATTGCAACCTTAAATTATATTTAAATATTAAAAAAGAGTGATGCCCTAAAATTGGGGGTGGCCAGGTGGGGGACAATAATGCCATAAGCCTGAGAGAGTTTATATTCAAGAGCCAGTTGTTTATATGAATATGAAAAGTAGAAATTAAGCTCTGAATCTCAACCCAACAGAGGGAATAAGATTCCGAGAAGCTCAACCAATCATTATGTTAATTTGGAATCTGTTTGGCACCCTTTGTCAGTTCTGCATATGGCTGCTGTTACTTGGGAGCCCTGATATGTTTAAAAACAAGATGCTAGTAAACAATTATAAATATTTAGGACCAACTATTGCCAGATGATGGGTCTACTGAAATGAAGAACAAATATGTATATCAATTGAAATAAGAGCATGATTCTACGAAGGCTAGGATAGCATCAAAGAACTAGTCTAGGAAAGATTTCCATGTTCTCCGGCATGGAAGCATAAAGTTGTCAAGATAGTAGAAAAATATTTCTTTTATGATTGGGCAAGTGCTACTTTTGAGGGAAGATCTGCAATTCAGAAATGGGAGCGAATAGAAACATACATTTACAAGTTCTATTGATGCATGCATGCTGAAGTTGAATTATTAATGTTGTATTGTTGTAGCTGCTGTATTTCTTACTGTTTTACATGTTTGCTTATTTGGTTATTTATTCTTGTTGATGTTAAGATAATACTGTTTTTTTTTTCCCTTTTTTCTAGCTGCAAGTTAAGATGATACTATTTATGCTTAATGTTCTTCTTTACAAGGTTTTCGATGCTATAATCTGTGACCCTCCATACGGAGTTCGTGCTGGAGGACGTAAATCTGGTGGCCGGAAGCTACTAAAGGGTGCTGTGGGTCCGTATACTGTTCCTGATGACAAGAGGTCAGACCATATACCATCAACTGCCCCCTACAGCTTAGTTGAGTGCATGCATGATTTGTTGGACCTTGCTGCTCGGATGCTAGTTATGGGTGGGAGGCTTGTCTTCTTCTATCCTGTGCTAAGAGAAGATGGTTCCACTGATACCCATTACCCAGAGCACCCATGTTTCACCTTGATTGCTTCCTCCGAACAGATCCTTAGCCTACGCTACAGTAGGGTCTTACTGACAATGGTGAAGACAGGACCATATAGTGAAGAAGTTGCAGAATCAGCTAAGAAGAAGCATCTGGAGTTCAAGGAAAACCATCTGAAGTGGTTAGAAGATGGTAATCTTCGTTCTGCTGTATTCAACCCTGCTGATACTCAAACTGGTTTTGCTGAGGATTCCCAGTTAAATAAAGAGTCAAAGCCAAAGTACAGAGGAAAATATGTATAGCTACATTTTTTTTACAGTAATTTTCACTGTTTAGCTGTCCAAGTCCGGCAATTTTCGCGTTCTAATTTCCAACAACTGTAATAGATGGGCTTTTCTGTACGCAAATTTCTTACCACTTGGGACCACGGCAGAGCCTCAAATTGTGATTGTAGCAGAGAGCAGGATGAATAGCCTGACTGCTGACTTGCTGAGCCCCTAAGAGAAGGATTTGCATCGACCACTGATCATGTCTACACTGCAGAACCCTTTTACCCATGCTCTTTGAACTTGTATGTCAGTCTCCTTTGTAGGAGACTTCCAGTTGACTTGAATCAAGAGGTCCAGAAGTTACTGAATATATGAACTCATGTAATAACTAGTTACATTTCTGAGGATAGTGTTTGCAATTTATGAAATGCATTAACATCCCAAGATTTTTTTTCCTCCTAGGCTGGAGATCAAACTAAGCAGTGATGAACTGGTGTAATTTTATTACCAAAAAAATAAGAACTGATATGGTCATGTCAAGCTTAGGGCGACCGGGATCTTCGACACCAACGCTAGTAGCCTGGTACTGGGTGGAGATAACTGCTTGAACTCGTACAAAAATTGGGTTAAACTTGAAAGCAATTAATCCTGCCTTGATTTGCTTAGGACGGCTTTGTGCTGCACTGCTGCCCTTTTTTAATAGTATTATAATTGATTCTCGTGCATAAGTGTATTACAGTTTGTCCTTCCCATTTTAGTAGGATACTTGTCAATGTGATTTCACGGGGGACATTTTGTTCTTGTTCTTCAGCTAGCCATGGAGAGTCTTGACTCTTGATTACTCCATTCATGTTCATCTTTTATTTCTCTTAAAACTTATTCCGAAGATTGTATTTGATCCAAGGGTTTGGTTGATCCATTTATAATTCATATTTAAATTTTTGTTCGTCTTTCATTTGTTTTTACTCCGGTGATTCAAGATATGTTAATTTGATGTTTGAAAAATTCCCCTACGGCAATTCCTAAAGCTAATCATTGCAGCAATGTTTTTCTAAAAAAATGGCTTATCAAACACCATCAAAGAACTTTCCATTTTTTCTGACATAGCAAGTTGGTGAAACAGAGCACTCGTGAAACACATTGGTGCCAAAGAGAAAATACTGAGCTCCAACGGTCCTATCCCGTTAGACATGTGTCCCACCCAATGTTTTTAAAATCGGACTGGACAGGGAACCATTCTGGGTCCGGTTCCTGAGTCAAATGGTCCAATCGTGCGGTTCGAACAGATGGCCCGTTCTGATAAAAATTAAAAAATTGAAAAACCCAAAAAAATGGCCAAAAACCGTTCTGTGTGGGTCAGTAATTCGTTGACCAAATCAACGGTTTTTTGCCAAATAACGGTTTTGGGGTAAAACAGAACTGGTCAGGTGATCAGTTCTCAAATTTTCTGGTCCAACCTTTCAGTCCGATCCGATTTTAAAAACATTGGTCCTACTAAAGTCATTTTAGGTTTAGCGGTTTAGACTTTAGGTAGAGCTGTAATGTGGGCTGGGCCGGTGGTGGACTCAGCACGGCCCAGCACAGCAAGGGCCGTGTTTGGCATGACACGATCACCACAATTCCGTGTCAGGCCAAGGCATGGCATGGGAATCTGGGCCATGCCGGGCCTAGGTTGTGGAGGGACCGGGCCTCCAAGGCATGGCCCACTCGAATGGCAGGGCCCAGCATGGCCCAGAGGCACAACATGCAGGTCAGCATGGCACATCCTTGATATCGGCCCTGTGCGGCATGCGAGAATATAGCCGTTGGAGGGGGGCAATGGCTATTTTTGCCTTTTTGGGTATTCTGACTAAAATACCCCCAACAGATATACACTGTCACTAGGGGTATTTGTGTATTTTGGATAATGGGGAATGACTTAAATGCCCCTAATAGTTATATAACTAGTTTAGTGGGTATTTAAGTCAAATAACATATAACCCCTAAAAATAATCAAAATGCCTCTCCCAACAGCGATAAACTATTAGTTTTGGAAGGTATTTTGGTTAAATTAATCCCTCAACTCCTATAAATACCCCTACCCTTCCTCATTCTCACCGCAACACCTCTCATACTATTTTACATACTCTCATACTCTATTACTCTCTACAATCTATATACTCTCATATTCTTAGCTCTTTTAATGTTTTTTCAATTTTATTTTTATTCCAATTTCCAAATTTCAACAAGGAGGAGCTTGCATCAAGTGTTTCAAGACTGCCAATCAAATAGTGCAATTTGGGAACCTGGGAGGCTTAGAAAGCTTCACCGGTTGAAATCAAGTTTATTGGCGGTTGGACCAAGTAATCTATAGATTAATTAATTTATTTTTCTAAATTTAAATTTTCATTACAATGGCTGGCTCTTCCAAAAATCCTTTTTATTTTGTTGATGAAGCCCAACCTCAGTATGACAACACCAAAAATGTCGGTGCTAGTAATAGTAATGTTGCTCTAAATATGGCTTCTCTGATTGGTGCTACTACCTGCAACGCCAAGTCTCTCTCTAGTAAGAAAAGAACTAGCGATATCTGGACTATTTTTTATATTGAAGAAATCCCTAGAAAGGGAAGAAGAGCAGTTTGCAAAAAGTAGACATGATTTCAATTGCCACAGTAGTGGTGGGACTAGTCATTTGTGCAAACACATATCATCTCACCTGAAATAGGGAGAAGACGAGTCAAACCAAATGCAAATTTCTATTGGGGTATTTGGTAATTTCAAATATTCCCAAGAGGAAATGAGGCAAGAATTAGTAAAATATATTATACATGCTGAGTAACCCTTTATGTTTTCTAAAGACCCTAGGTTAGAAAATTTTCTACAATATTCTGTTAATCCGCATTTTAGTAAAGTTTTTAGGAATACAACAAGATTTAATTTAAACTCTTTCTAATTTAGATTCTAAAATTTCTCTTACATATGATATATGGACATCCAAATATAACATTAATTATAGTTGTGTCACTACACACTTTATTGATCAAGATTAGAATTTGCATTAATGAATTTTAAGTTTTACTAGATTAGAATGGCCACATATTGGCACTGAAATTTCTAGGAGTATTTTAAATACTTTATAAGAATATAAAATTAAAAATAATTTTTTTTCTATTACTTTTGATAATGTTAGTAAAACTAATTCTCCCAATAAATATGTTAAAAAATCAATTAAAATCACTTTTAATGAAAAATGATTTCATATTAGGTGTGCATGTCACATATTAAATTTATGTGTACAAGATGCATTAGAATTTATTTCACCTCATATTAATAAAGTTAGAAATTATATTGTGTATATTAGAACCAGTGTTTTCAACTTGCCATTGACCCGATTGATTAAATTGCTCAAATCGTCACCCGATCAAGAATTTGGGTCCGGTTTTAGTAAAACTCGAAAGATGGTAAAAAACTGTCAACTTGGCCAAAAACTTTCCGACCCAAATGGTTGGATCGTTGACCCATTTGACCCAGTGATCGGGTCACGGGTTGTACACTAAATGTGTATGCAAATTTCAGGAGGCCATAAATTTGCACTCTAATGTCTGATTGAGATGTTTTTTTTTGGGTAAATTTTGAAGACCTATGCATCCCAAGGTGCCAAAGCCTTGCTATTTTTGCCAAAAAACCCTTTTTTGGTCTCAAATTGTAAATTTTAATATTTTTTTACAAATAAAAAATTTTAAAACAGAACATAGAAACATAAATTAAATATAAAATAATACATATATTACATGTAGAACATAATTATACATTATTTATTGATAAAATGCATATACATACATATATATGTATGAATTTATGTATTGCTATCGTGGCACGGTCTACTCCAAGTCGGTTTTTAAAACATTGATTAGAACTTCAATGGTTAGAAAACAAGAATTTAAAAATTTATGTCACCAATGTGGAAAAAAATATAAAAGATTTGTATTAGATGCACAAATAGGTGGAATTCAACATATTCTATGTTAGAAAGTTTAACATATAAAGATGTTTTAACAAGTTTTTTATAATAAAAGAAATGCCAAATGATTACATAATTGATGAAGATTGAGAAATTGCAATTTGTATAAAAGATTTTTTACAAACTTTTTATGATGCAACTAATTTATTTTCGGGAGTTTATTATCCTACTTCATGTGTATTAGTTAATTAGTTATTTATAATTAGTGATGTTTTCAAAATATAGAAATATTCAACAATTTCAAGAAATTATGAAAATAAAATTTAAAAAATATTAAATATTTCTCCTTGGCACGTGATATACTAACCCCTCCGGTGTCAATAATTGCATCGGAGTCTTATTTTTTGCAGATAGTTGAGTTTTGGATGAGAAGAGGAGCAACTTGAATGATCACTCTTTAGAGATGTGCATCTGTTTGAAGGATTGGCTAGATACAAAAGATAGGATACAAGACAAAGAAGGTAATAGTTCACCAGATAAAAATGATGGACATGAAACTTGAAAAAGTGTTGAATCTAATATTTTTTGTATTCTTGTAATTTTATATTTTCAATTTTATTTGAAAATTATTTGTAATAATTTCCAATAATCCAATCCCATTTTAATTTTTATCTTCAATTTTATCATTTTATAAATGCAACTTCACTGTATTATTTTTTCAATGTACTTATTATTTTTTGTACACATTAAATTTGAAATGAAATAAAATTTTCACAATTTTTTCCAACTTATTATCTATTGTTCATGTTAATTTTTTGCTATTATATGTTATTTTTTCCCTAAATTTTCTTAGTTTAGGAAAATTGGAAAAGAAAAACAATAGGCCTAACTCGGACCCGGCTTGGCAATGGCCCAGCTCCCTAGGTCTGACACGACTAGGAACTAGTCCATGGGTTGTGCCTAGCTTGACTTGGGAGGGGGACCGTGCTGCTCAAGCATGGCCTGCCAAGGCCCAAGTCCCAACACAACATGACCCACATTACAAGTCTAGCTTTAGGATTTAACGATTAAAAAATTAGATTATGGGGTTTGAGGTTTAGGGATTTAGTTTGTGGGATTTAAGGGTTTAGGTTTTAGATTATAGGGTTTAAAGTTTTGGGTTAGGGTTTTCAGGTTTTAAAGGTTTAGAGTTTAGGCTTTAAGAGTTTAAAACCGAAAATCAAGAGATGGTAGGATGCATGTCCTCCAATGGGGTAGGGGCCAAAAATATTGCCTGTGCCAAATGTGCTATAAATAGAGGGTTTATTGAGATTGTCTGATACTTCTTCGCAGGGATCTGGTACCGACAAAATGCTTCCAACACAATTCCAACAGGCCACTACCACCACACTTTGGGAACATCTCTGTTATCATTCATTAGGAGATATTTACGATGTAGGGTTGTAATAAAGATCGGATTTTCTCCTCACATAGCATGCTTCACGCCAACCTCAGAGTGCATTGAGAGATGTTCTCAATGCACGACTGAGATGCATGTTCTATGAGGTTGGTGTGAAGTGCACATTGTGAGGAGTAGGGTTGTTCATCGGATTTGTTCCTCACATAGCGTGCCTCACACCAACCTCAGAGTGCATTGGGAGATGCATGTTCTCAATGCACGACCGAGATGCATGTGCTATGAGGTTGGTGTGAAGTGCACACTGTGAGGAGTAAGGGTGCTCATGGTTCTATTAAACAAATCATAGGCCTAAATTTCAAACCGATCTAGTGGTATCGATTTTTGGAAAATCGGTAACCGAAATTAAACCAAAGCCAATCGATTAGCCGATTGGTCAGTTCAGTTCATCCATTTGATTAACCAGAATTTTCAATTTGGTCTCTTTGATTAGGTTGGGTTTTTCGGTTTTTTTTTCTTGCTCACCTCTAGTGAGGAGCAAATCCAAATTCATGAGGTTAATCTTTGATTAGTAATATGGAAACCTCTTTTTTTTCCTATGTGAATAAAAAGTGGAATTATATTCCTGATCTTCTTTCCCTAAAAGTTTAGGACATATTCGTTTAGAAATCTAACTTCTGGAGCGAAATCAGAATCCTAAAGAAATGTTTCCATTGAAACGTTCAAAATTACAACCATCTTCTGAAAATTTGTAATATAACTATCCCGTATTTCTTAAAAAAGGGCAACTTGAAGGGCCCTGTTCTATGGAGTTGGCTGAACTTTCACCCTTCATAAGACCTCCAAGCAGTTCTCCACGATCGTAAAAGAATTCCACTTTCACTATCCTCATCTGTTCGTCCAACTGTTACAAAAAGACAAGGATACCATATTTTGACGAGTAATTTTACCCAAGTCCTATGAATGGCTTTGTACAACTAACAAGCAAAATTCTCAACAAAATTGATAATGAGATGCATGAATCCATCATCATCTGATTAATTGGTAATAATTAATATCAGTTTAAACAAGGGACCCTCTGAAAAGGGGGGCCATATAGAAAAAATCAGTTTAAAAAAACAAGGAGAGAGAGAGAGAGAGAGAGACCCCTTACAGTTTCTAATTCTTTTATTTGAAGCAATACTTGAAGCTACTGGAAGCAACTGATCAGAGTAAAAGTGAATAATTAAGAAAGAAACATTATGAAGTAGGGGGGTACCTCAAAAATGGCCATCCCATATAATTCCACCATCTCTCTTGTTGGGGCATGCCCTTTAAAGGGACCCTCCATGAATCCCCAGTGCCTGAACTTGTACACAATTACAGGTGGACCAGAATAAACTTGCAGAATCTCAAGAGCAAACCCACGAGGGAATGCTGTGGTGAAGGCCTGGTGAGCTGAATCTACCGTTTCAACATCCGGATTATAGCAGCGGTATTCCTCCGGCAAGGAGGTCTGCAACAGTGAATTATAGCCTCCACCGAGACGACGCTTTTCTTCTAGAGATATCAGTGGCCTTCCTGTGAAATACCCATCCATTGACGATGATGATCATAATTAAGCAAACCAATCTTCTGACATAATAAACTAATAAATCAACTAAAACTAATGAATTGCAGAAGAAAAGGTCAGTCGGTGTTACCATTGAGACTGAACCTGTACTTCTCTGGGTCGACGGTTTTGTAGTCGTTAAAGCCTGTCTTATGGAACATCTCCATTTCCCATGTCTTGACAAGGTTCTGGACCTTTTCTTCAAGAGAACCAGGGGGCCATATCTAGCAATAACAGATTAATTAGAAGGTTTCTCAGAAAAACATACAGAAAGAAATAAAGAAATAGATAGGCAATGGCTTTTATTATTGGGAATTAACCTTAGTTCTGCCTTCTTCGAAGAGTTTGTTTACTACGTCATAGTTGGGAGGAGCTCCCCATCTCCACTTGGTGTTCTTCTCTGCTTCGCCATAGATGTGAGACCGATACTTATCTCCCTCAACTGTTGGAGAAGCCATCTTCTCTGTAAGTGGAGTAGGTCGTTTATGGAGGAATAAGTGTCATATCATATATAGAGATGCACTTGGAGCATCATCTGTTATGAGTGGCAAGCTAACAACCAATCAAATATTATCCGGCTATCTCAAACATACAAAAAATAAATATATAAAAAATTGTATTGACGCAGCCAAGTTGAAGACTATGGCTGGCTGATGGCTCCCTACCAAGTTGTTAGGTCAGATGTGCTTTGGTTGAATCTTGATGCATGAGTCAAAAATGTTGGCCGTAGGGACTTAAATTAAATTATTTGTCTGAATCCTTGACCTATGTGTCAGTTCCAACTTTGTTCCTATAAACAAAGCCATCTCGGGGCTAGGTGTGGGGGCCACCAGGTTCAAACAAAACCTGTACTTCGTGCTGGGGTGGGGGGTGATACTTGGCTCTCGGAAGAAATTTCTTTGATACTAGTCGTTTATACTTTCATAAAATGACAGAACCATCAACCTCAATTTCACAGGATTTGAATGTGATTCCATGGAACAGGTTGTTTTGACTTAGATTAGTTTAACCCAAACCCGGTTCATTAATACCTATTTTCTTATGTTATATTAATGGATCAGATATTAGCTTAATCTAATCCAATCTAACATAAATTTATAACGGACGGATCAGGTTCAATCTAATTTAATAAATATTTTGGACTGAATTGGTTCAATTCGATACGTCTTATTGAACTGTTCAATCCGTCCAAATTAATTTTGATGCGGATGAAGTCCAATTCAAAACCACTACTCCATTGATTCCTTTACCAATCACTAATATAATTGCTTTAGATGGCCGGGCAAAAGTTGAGACTGGAGTGATGTCTGGTTTTCGTTAGAATTCAGAGATCATACATTTTACCATATGAAAAAGGCTGACGAATTACTTTAGATCCATTCATTTTAGGGGTGGCAATTGGGTTCAATCCAATTCATTTAATCCGCTAATTTATTATTGGCCCAGTTATATAAAATTAAATGGGTTGAGTTCAATCCAAATCCTTTTTAATCCAATCCAACTCGCTCAAATCCATTAATTTTATATTTATGGACTTAAAAAAACAAATTCTTTCTCTCTTAACAAATAAGTTGGTTATATTTTAGTGGTTATTGTAGTTATTATTTACATAAGTGGTGAAGGTTCAAATTACATTATAAGTAAGTTGTTTTTACACAAGCGGCAAATCCATTTGACTATGTTCGGATTTCAGGTTTGACCAAACCACTTAGGTTCAAACCGGTCAGACCAACTTAAACCACTTAGGTTCAAAGGTGGTTGAACCGTTTAGATCTGGATCAATCCGGTCGGATCGGATCAGTTCAATCAATGGTGGATTGACTTGGACCGGACCATATTAGGTTTGTGCATGGATTCGGGACCAGACCGCCTGGCCCAAACCAAGTCAATGCAGCTAAATTGGGACGGTCTGGATTCAGGTCGACCCGAATTGACTGTGCTGGGTCGGGTCGGAAAGTGTGACTATTGGTTGGACCGGACGACTCAAACCGTGCAGAGCAAGCGGTTACCAAACCATCCCACTCGGGGTCTATTTTGGATTCGGGTCGGCCCTAATCAATATATGCTGGATCGGGTCAGACCGCATTGAACTGATCCGGACTCGGGTCAAATTGATTTGGATTTATGTTGGGTGAAATGTATTGATTCAAGACAAACTAAATTTAGTCAATTATTAATAGAAAATTAATGTATTAATTATAAATTATTTAATTCAAATGAAGAAAATTAAAAAAAAAGGGGCTAAGGAATTTACACTTATGTCTATAATGATTAACCCAATGGTTATCCATAACCCAACCCAACTCATTTAAATGGATGGATTGGGTGATGGGTTGATCAGACAACCCGCCAAGTAAACGGGCGGGTTGGGTGGGTTCAGCGGGTTGGATTAAAAATTGCCACCCTTATTCATTCATTTATAATATCGCTTTGGCAAATCAGATCTTTTGTTTAGGGTTACTACAATATTTGGAATGGTGAAGAACATCTCTGTAATTGTATATTTTCATTTAGGCTGTGTTTATTTGAAATGTAAATGAGAATCGCGGTAAATTTTACATCTCAGTCCAATTTTATAAGCGTTTGGTGGAGGTAAATGTAAAAAGTCCATTCTTGTCAGTATTTACAATGAAATCAATGAAAATTTTACATGGATATGAACAAGCTTTGCTCTTTGTCCAACAACGGTCTCCTCCGTCCAACAGCCAGAAGAAATACAAGCCGGTTATGGCTGCCAATGAAGCTGACGAAATGTCTGATTTATTTTGCCCATACATATTCCCAGCCTCAGACGAGAGAGCGTGAGAGAGAAAAGAAGAGACAATAAATCTCAGTCTCAAATCTATCTGTAGCCATGTCACCGCTCGTCAAGAAGACCTCCTCTGATCGACAATACAAGGTCAAAGGAGTTTGGCCTCTCTCAACCCTTCGCAGCCTTTCAAGGGAGTCAAGATCACTGGCTCGCTCCACATGATGACGATCCGAACTGTGATTCGGATCAAAACCCTCACCACCCTCGATGCTGAGATCCGTGTGTGCTCCTGCAACATCTTCTTCACCCAGGACCACACCACTGTTGCCATTGCTTATTGCAACAACGCTTCCATATTCGAGTGGAAGGGGGAGATCCTTCAGGAGTACTGGTGTTGTACTGAGAGGGCACTCAACTGGGGTCCTAGTGGCGGCCCTGATCTCATCGTCAACAATGGTGGTGACTTACATTCCTCATCCATGAGGGTGTGAAGGCAGAGGAAGAGTACGCCAAGACCAGAAAGTTGTCAGACTCAACATCAACAGACAATGCCGAGTTCCAGATCGTGCTCACGATAATCAGAAATGGGTTGAAGATGGATTTGATGAAGTATCACAAGATGAAAGACAGATTAGTTGGTGTTTCTAAAGAGACAACCACCGGTGTCAAGAGGCTTTACCAAATCAACAACAAAGAGAGTTTCAGAGCAGAGGAGCATGAAACCTTTCACTTTTACACCAGAACAACTAAACAACATGAGAGAAAAATCCCAAACACTCCTGTTCAATTTTCCATTGATCACTAAACTGGGGTCAAATTTTCCATCAATATAAATTTGAATTTACACTTAAAACAAATGCAGCCTTATGGAAAATATGTGAATAATACACGACTGAAAGGATTGAGTCCGGAATCCAAATCTCTTGTCCACACAAACTCTGTTCATATCTACCCACATAACATTGCAGCCACACATGAAGAACATCTCATCCTCCTATATAGTATTATGCAGGGGGAGATATTCCCAATTCACAGGTATAGTGTGTTGGGTAGACATAGACAGAGTTCTCGTGGACAAAAGATCCCGAGTCGGAAGTATTATAATGACAGTATGAAAACCCATTTTGTTTTTGATGACATGGCAGTTGTTTTTATTTTCAAAAACAAAATAACCATGCTATCGAACACCCCTTACTTGAAATCATGATAACACTTAATGTTTGAGATTATTCAATGATCTTAGGAGTTAGGACACCACTTCAATGTCTGGGATATCTGCAACCTATTTCGTTTCAATTGGTTATATTAGCTCAAATTTCCGTAATAATTTGGATTCTTAAGATTAATTCACTGATTTTATATATGAGACCATTTTGGTGGTTTAGATCTTTTATTTATACGTAATTTTATTTGCCTTTTTTTCTCAAAAAATGGTGATTTAATATAATTCACTGTCCTATACTAATAAACTTTGGCACGTTACAATTGTTTGGAAGGCCAAGATCATTAGATATTTGGGTTGATTCAGTAGTGGACCGTTTGGATAGCATAGATTGGTTGAAAGTTTGGTACATCATTTGGAAGGTTGAGATCAGTTCACTTTACTGATCTTAAGACACCACTTTGATGGCCTAGATCTTTGGGTTGTTTGAATAATAATTTGGATGCATGGACAAGATAAAATGAAAATTAACTTGGTGCATTATGTAGGTGAATGGAATTAGTTGACTCTTTGCTACATCTTTGGGTGGTTGAGAACTTCAGATTAATTAATGTATTGATCTTATTAGGAGGCCCAAATCTTTGGATTAACTTTTGACATCATTTATATATCACCTCCATGGCATAGATTATTTAAGATTAATTGACTAATTTTGAGGCATGAATTCGATATGGTCTAAATCTTTTGTTAGAAAAACATAAATAAAAATTTATATTTTTTAATTATTATATAATAATACATCCACCCAGGGTTCTCTATAATTTACTTTTTATTACTTGGATGGCACACATTGAGAAGACTATAGGTCCCACTGTGAAGATTTCCGAGCTCAAACTTCACTTGAATACTTATAATCATTTTAGAATGGTCAAATAAACACCAATTAGTGGAAGAAGGTTTTGATTATCCAAGGATTAATTAGGAGGATCAAATCAAACTGAAGAGTCCCAATTTATTAGAGATATCCTGTGTAGACTACGACCAGTTCCGGTAAAGAAGAGTCTCTACCCATCATCTATTAATGACTTTTCCCTATATACTATATATGTTTATTTGTGAATTTGCAATTTAATTTAAGGGTTTTTATCGTTCAGTCCATTCCAGAAATCCTAGTTCAATCGTACAGTTCAGGATAGGTGTCAACTCGAAATTGATGTCAATTCACAGGCTATTTATAAATTTATTTGAATTGTTTTAGATCTACGGTTTAAATCTAAATTCTGTGGTGGAGTAAAGTTTAAAAATTCCTTTAATTTAATCTTTCTTTAATTTATTGCATGAACAGATATTTCGTCTTTTATTGGTTTAGTGTAGTTTTTTTAGTAAAGTTTTTAAGGCATCACCTACATGACAAACCACCCTTGGTAGCATCTTCTTATAATATCATTTCTAGGGTTTCCAGAGAAGAAAAGAAAGTAGGATAAAAGAGTTTTTCGCTTTAGAATTTTTCTACAACCTCTCTCTCAACAACGAGTCAACACCCATGGTGCTGAGTATATATTGGAACAGGATTCTTTAATTAACTGGTAGGACGGATTAGCATCTTTTTTGAGTCATCTTTTTTGAACAGAATGCAATTTCCTTTCCACCAACCCCAGCTCTCTCTCTCTCAGTCTCTCTAGAGGTGTAAATCGGGCCCTGTTGCCCGTGGTCTGGGATGGCCCAATTTTAAGCCAACCTGGCATGATAGTTTACGGGAGCATGACCCATATATATTTAATATTATATAAATTATAATTATATAATAATATATAGTATATAATATATTAATATTTCAATTTTATTATATTATTTTATTTAATTATTATATATAAATAATCATATACATTAAGATTCATATAAAATAAAAAGTTTAAGATTTTTTTTTTCAATTTTTTAAATAAATAGTTTTAGCCCAATCTATGGCCCAGCCTGACCTAAGGCTCGGCCCACGGACCAGCTTGACCTGTGGCACAATACGGGCCCATGCAAGTTTGGGCCATGGGCCATGCCGGGCCAACCCCCTAAAATATCGCAGGAGAGAGAGGCACAACCCGTTTTACAACTCTATCTCTCTCTAATTATTTTAACAAATTAATCTTGTGTACTCTTTGTATTATTCTTAATTCTTTCATAAAGAAACCAAAGGATAAATCATAAACCCAATTCACCCCCACCCATTTTGGGTTAAACATCTAGCTAGGCAAAACGCCAGCACGTCATTCATCGTTTATGCTCTAAATGCATTTGATTTGGGTATTGGTTTAGCACTTGACTTATCTACTTAAAGATATATTGTCATTCATTACCCAAATTATCACCCTACAGAATTGGATAAACGCTATTTTTTTAGAAATCAGAATTATCTTAAGAAAATAACAATGTAAGCTAATTTGAATTTAATAATTACCCTATCCATACTTCCAATTATTAAAACATTAAAAATATATCTTTTGGAGGTTTTTTGTTAGAATATCACTACTTCAAATCACTCCAATAGTAGGTAATACAAATCAAAACGTAACCAGACATAATTACATGATAATAATTAAAGTGTAATCCCATTTAATTTATTTCACTAATAACAACCATTAGTCACTACTACTTGTGGCATAAACACGATAAGTAGTCCCAAGACGATAACTAAACTTGAGTTAGTTTGTTAAAGAACGGACAACCGGCAGATGATGATGAGTTTGTTGAAGCTTCAGAGTCATTTGACAAAGGACTCTTCACAAGGCTTGCAAGTAATTCGTTTGGGTCATAAAAGAACTCCACCTTCTCAACTCTCATCATTTCATCAACCTGATGCAAAACCATGTTGAATTAGTCCCTGTGTTACATTGATATTCTTTAATTTGTGTGGGCTCACAAACAATAAAACTTGGGTTCATTCTGATGAAGGGGAATTTGGCCCGACCTCGCAATCACCCGATACGTGGCAAAAACAAGCAACTCAGGACAGTAAAGCGCCTGAAGCGAGCACCGAAAGCAAGTCCAAGCTCACTACTGAGCCCGAACTCCACCAGACCGCTCTAAAAGGAGCCCGAGCTCCCTACCAAGAGTCCGAGCTCCCTATTAAGAACCCGAGCTCCCTATTAAGAACCCGAGCTCCCTATTGAGAACCCGAGCTCCCTGCAAGGAGCACGAACTATATTGGGCCCCAAGCCTCACAAAGCTGTGA